CTGAAGAGCTGAGGGACAGCACCAGGCCCAGAGTTTCAGGGGTGCGGGGCCCGGCGTCCGGGCGCTGCCAGGGCCAGCTGCGCCCTCCCCGGGGACGCCGGGGTCCTCGGGGACCTGGGCTGCGGCCAGGGAAAAACAGGGAGACGACGGACGGGAATAACAGGGAGAAGACAGACGGGAATAACAGAGAGACAGACAGACGGACAGGAATAACGGGGAGACGACAGAGAGACAGAGACAGGGAGACAAGAGACAGACAGACGGACAGGAATAACGGGGAGACGACAGAGACAGAATAACAGGGAGATAACAGACAGACAGACGGACAGGAATAACAGGGAGACGACAGAGAGACAGAGACAGAATAACAGGGAGACAACAGACAGAAGGGAATGACAGAGAGGTAGTAGACAGATAGACAGGAATAACGGAGACGACAGACAGACAGATGGACAGGAGTATCAGGGAGACCACAGACAGACAGGAATAATGGAGATAAGAAACAGACAGATGGACAGGAATAACAAGGAGATGACTGACAGACGGATGGACAGAATAGCAGGGAGATGACAGACAGAAGATACACACACACACACACACACTGCTAGTGGCTCTCAGCTGTCATCCTAGCTACTCAGGAGGCTGAGATGTGAGGATCACAGTTCAAAGCCAGCCCGGGCAGGAAAGTCCATGAGACTCTTATCTCCAATAAACTACCAGAAAACTGGAAGTGGTGCTGTGGCTCAAGTGGTAGAGTGCCAGCCTTGAGCGGAAGAGCTGAGGGACAGCGCCCAGGCCCAGAGTCCAAGCCCCACAACCAACAAAAAATAAATGAAGAAAAGAAAAGAATATATTTTGTGTATGTGTGCCAGGCCTGGGACTTGAATTCGGGGACTGGGCTCTGTTCAAAGCTGATGTTCTACCACTTGAGCCACAGAGCAACTTCTGCCTTTTTTGTTGGTTCATTTGAGATAAGAATCTTACAGACTTCCCTTCCCCAGGCTGGCTTTGAACCCTGATCCCTAGGTCTCAGCCTCTTGAGTCTCTAGGATTACAGGCGTGAGCCACCAGCACCCCGCAGGCCCCATCATTTTTAAGGTGATGGAGAAGGGCGGCGATGCTGGTATAACAGACCACATTCAGTCCTTGCTCTGCCCACAATGCTCTGTGGCTCTCACTTCCCCAGAGGAAAACTCCCAGGTCTTCCCCACAGCCCACCAGGCCCTGCCCGCCTCCTCCCTGCCCACCTCCTCCCTGCCGCCCTCCTCTCCACAGCTCTTCATGAGCCTCTCAGCTTCTTTCAGTGTCTGCCCAAAGCCTGCTTCCCACATCTGACACGACAGATGTTTGACTTCTACCCAGTATGGCAACACATGCCTTGAATCTCAGCATTGGGATCTGAAGTTTGTTTCAAAACAAAAGAAAAATAATCATTTCTTTTTTTTTTTTAAATTCTTTTGCTCTGTTGTGGGGCTTGAACTCTGGACTTGGGTGCTGTCCCTCAGCCACAGCACCACTTCCAGTGTTCTGGTGGTTAATGGGAGATAAGGGTTTCACAGCCTTTCCTGCCCGACCTGGCTTTGAATTGCGATCCTCAGCTCTCAGCCTCCTGAGTAGCTCAGATGACAGGCGGGAGCCACCAGCGCCCGGCAAAAAATCATTTCTTTTCTCCGGGCTCCGTGCGTCCGCAGTTGCACGGTCAGCCTCAGCTGAGCAGGGTTTGGGGGTTTTACTCCCTTGCTGTAAGTGAGCTGTGTGCAGTACCTGGCACACGGGGACTGTTCGAGGAAGTCTTGGGGGGACAGGGTGAGGGGATCCCCAGGTTACCGGGGAAGAAGGTAGCTCAAGCTTTCAGGAGCCGCCTGTGAAAGTCTCCTATGCGTTCAGTACTGGATGCACCCACCCTGCATCCATCACTATCACCAGTCAGGGATCCGGGCTCCATCAACAAGACTTAGGTCCCTTGGGGGTGTCCTGCTGTCCCTTCCAGCTGAGCCCAGAGAGGGCTCTGTGCCTCACGACAACATTTGCAACCCTCCCTTGCTGATGGAGAGGCAGGTCCCAGGAGGTTTAGGGGAGATGGGAGGAAGTTTACTTGAAGTTTAAAAACTGATCACTGGGTGGAGAGATCAAGGACCCTCCAGGCATGGTCCATTCACCCTGGAATAGTACACAACCAGGAACAGGACAAGGCTGTGACCCGTCCCGTGGAGGGACCTTGAGGCCACTGCGCTTCGTGAGAGACGCAGACACAAAAGGCCCCATGAGTAGGAAACGGCTGGATGGGAGACAGGAAGGGGACTCCTGGGGCGGTGGGCTGGGGGAGGGGGGCAGCCAGGCCATCGCTCAGGGAGATGAGAGGAGTGATGGAATGTTCTAGAATTAGCGACACTGTGAAAACTGTTCCAACATTTGTTGACTTGTATATTCAAAACGTTTTGAAATAGACACAAAAACTGGACTCACTCAACACGGTGAAAAGGAACTGTATAACTTGTGGGTGGAGAGGAGGAAGAAAAAACTAGGAAAGAGCGAAAGAAAGGGTGACACTGTCCCAGGAGAGATGTACTCTGCATGTGTGCACATGGCTGGCTCGCACCTACAATCCTACTTACTCAGGAGGCTGAGGTCCGAGGATCCAGCGCGGTCAGTCCAGGAGACTCTTATCTCTAATAAACTACTCAGAAAAAGCCAGAAGTGGCGCTGTGGCTCAAGTGGTAGAGAGCTAGCCTTGAGCAAAAGAAGCTCAGGGACAGTGCCCAGGCTCAGAGTTCAAGCCCCAGGACTAGCAAAAGAAAAAGGGAGGTGGGGAAAAGGAGGGAAAAAGGAAGGGAGGAAGGAAGGAGGGAGAGAGAGGGAGGGAGGGAGGAAGAAAATATACTCTAGTGGGAGACCATTGGCTCACTCCTGTCATCCTAGCTACTCAGGAGGCTGAGATCTGAGGATTGTGGTTCAAAGCCAGCCTGGGCAGGAAAGTCTGTGAGACTCATCTTCAATGAATCACCAGAAAACCGGAAATGGAGTTGTGGCTCAGAGTGGTAGAGTGCTAGCCTTAAGCAAAAAAAAAAAAAAAACCTCAGAGACAGTGCCCAGGGTCTTGAGTTCGAAGCCCCAAGACAACAAAAGGGGGGGGGAAAGGAGAGGGAGGGAGAGAAATCAATTCTCTCCATTTCAGAATCTAGAATTCTGAAATCAAGGCGTTATCAGCAAGGCTACCTGGGCGCCACCCCACCCCCACCCGAGTCCTGCAGAAGCCCTGGCTGGGCCCTGGCAGCTTCTGGTGGCTGGGGCAGTTCTTGGCCATCCGGGACTCAGTCATTCCAGTCCCTGCCTCTGGTCAGTGGCTGTCTCCCCTGTATCTATGTCCAAATTTTATCATCTTGTAAAGGCAGCAGTTCCTGGCCCAGGGCCGGCTCCTCTGCCAAGGGCTCATTGACATCCACCCTACTTCCAAATAAGGTCGCATTCGGAGGGACTGGGGCAAGGACTGGGGGGGGGGTAAACACATTCCAACTTCATCGCATTATCTCATTAGAGCAAGGAGCTGGTGGCTCACGCCTGTCATCCCAACTATCCAGGAAGCTGAGATGTGGGGATCACAATTGAAAGTGTAGGCAGGAAAGTCCCAGACTCTTATCTCCAATTAGGTAGCACAAAGCAGGGCTGGAGGTGTGGCTCAAGTGGTAGATTGCCAGCTGGAGTATAAGTCCCTGAGATCAAATCCTTGGACCACAAGAACAACAACAACATAAAAAAATTCCATGGCTTCACCAGTAATTTCTAGGAACACATTCCATCAGTGAACTACAGAATTACCCATGACTGGACAACTTAAAGACTCCGATGATGGACTGGGAAGGTGGCTCAGTGGTAGAGCGCTTGCCTTGCATGCCTGAGGCCCTGGGTTCGATTCCTCAGCACCACATAAGCAAAAGGAAGAAAAGCCGGAAGTGGCGCTGTGGCTCAAGTGGTAGAGCGCTAGCCTTGAGCTGAAGAGCTGAGGGACAGCGCCCAGGCCCAGAGTTCAGGACCCACGACCGGACCCCCCCCCCCAAAAAAAAGACTCCAACAAATGGCCGATAGGAGTTGGACAGAAAATGATGCACACTTGGTTACCACAGCCAGACGGCCCATTGTCCCAGACAAGTGGAAACTTACAGGGTGGTCATCTACACACTGGAATACTACACATTTAAGAAAAGGACAAGGCCCTGACCCCTGCCGTAGTGTGAGGGACCTTGAGGCTGCGTGGGAGAAGCAGATACCAAAGGCCCACAGTGGAGCTGGGAAGGTGGCTCAGTGGTAGAGCGCTTGCCTTGCATGCCTGAGGTCCTGGGTTCGATTCCTCAGCACCACATAAGCAAAAAGTAAAAAGCCGGAAATGGTGCTGTGGCTCAAGTGGTAGAGCGCTAGCCTTGAGCTGAAGAGCTGAGGGACAGCACCAGGCCCAGAGTT